AAAAAAATTATTTCAGATGCTTGAGAATGTTTTTTTTGTTGCTATAATTCCTAATATGTCGGGGAAAGAAATTTTTGGTAAGATTGCGGCCCGCCATTTGACTGGTGTTGTAAATTGCGGCCCCAGGCCTCATGTAAGTTAGAAATCCCTGCTCTATATAATAGTCGATATATAATAGGTCTATATAATAGCTCTATATATAATGTTTTTTATATCATTTCTAAAAATGTAATCTTACACGATAAAATATAAAATTTGGACAAAAAAGGTCGAAAATATTTTGAGTAACAACAGTCATATGTTTAATCATGTTAGTTTGAGTGGGAAATCATGCATGAAGAAAAAGTGAATTGTCTATTTGTCTTCATATTGTTATTCACCCTTGCGTGGCTCCTCAAAATTTTCGAAAGAAATAAGAGAAGCGAAAATCGAAATATATCGCAAGTATTTTCTATAGAAAAATAAAAGAAAGATGTCTCAACACCCGCCAAAAAATTATTAATTAGCATAAAGAAAATGTCAAAAACGAAAAAACTGTCACCGTCCCCAGCTGAGAACTTTTTATGTTGACATATTTTCAATTTAACTTTTTCTCCAAACTTATATCCCAGCAGTGAACTGATCGTAAATACAAGGTTCCCAGTAAAACACCGGAGTCAAGCTTCGCTAACTGCGGTCAGTAAGCGGGTGGGGGACCACTTTGCCCAGTCGGCGTAGGGATCGAGGATGCGCGGTATCGGTCCTCGTTAAGCTGTTCTACTGTTAAGTATTCGACTTCGTGCGTAAGTCGTCGGGCTACCAAAGTAGGGGGGCATCCCCACAGCAGAGGATCAAAATTGTGATGGCATGCCTTCGGATCATCCTCATTGATGTTTCCCAGACCGTCACCAATAGCCCATTGGGCAGCTCTTATGCGACATAAATAAATAACCTACTTACCTCTAAGCTGAGAAAATATTAATAGCATTAATAGTTTATTAATAATTATATAAGTTCTTAATGGGTCCGGGATAGCCTTTTAGGTAGGGCACTGAGTCCATATCCAAGAAGTAATGGGTTCGATCACCGCCGGTCGCAGACTCCCCATGTAGTAAATGGTGACTGATGTTCGTTAAATCTATCGAGCCACGAAGTCCACCATGTTCCCATAACAAATCATACCTCTGGGGGTACTGATCCATGAATTTCCTTGTCTTCTGGATTGGCTCGAAATTACAAGGCTGCGGAGTTGAACATTAGTAGTCTTAAGCCCAAAATTGGGTCAGCTGTTCATAGACGGTTATAAAATAAAATAAAGTAATTAATGTAATACACCGCAATTCCGAAATATTTTAAAATTTGGCATCGTCAAAAATAATGATAGATTAAGATTATTTTCAAAGAAAAAGTTAAATATGAAGAGAAAAAAAACAATTTAATCTACAGTTGTGACAAACGAACATTCAAATCACAACGATCACAGCTGGTATTTAAAAATCCGACTTTAAATTAAAGCTAAGAATTTTTTCTTGTTCTATCTGCAGTCATTTTCAGATTTATTTATTTATTTCATTTTTATAATTTCATTAATATATTAAAAGCATTGTATATTTATTACAACTTTTGATAAATTAAGTAACACACTGTAGATTCTAAAAGCTAAATAAGTAGATTGAAAAGCCGCATCACTGAGATGCAATAAAATTCGTTGTTGCAATCAAATTAACGAGATAAAGGATGCAAATGATCAATCNTTATTATCATCAACTGAAATTTAGACCATTTTTCAACAAGCTTGAATGTTCCATACTTAAATAGAACTTCGGACGGATGATATATACAATATGGTGCAAACAAAATTTGTCGCCTATCAAAATGTCGATCACTATATAACCTAAAAAAAGGAGAAAAGAAAATAATGAAACGAAAATAATAAAATAAAAAGCATAAAACTGCGGGTTTAAAATGGTCTATAAAAAAAGTAATTTCATGTTTCCCTAATCTAAATATGATTCATCATTTTCAATAGACTTGGAAGAATTTTAGTGGTGATAGAAGCTTATAACGATAGTGATACGCTTTTAGCTTTTCGTTTTAATAAAATTCTCGTTTCGCTTAAATTAGTTTCCCCTTCTTAGCTAGTTTGAAAAGTGTTGTTCTTAAATATTTATTTTTAGTATCGTTGTTTTTATTGCCTTTTTATGTATTTCTGCTCATTTATTTATTTCAATTTTTGTGCGAGTTCTTATTAAAAAAATTTATTTGAAACTATTTTTAATATTTTTTATTATTTTCTATAAATGCATATGTTTATGCTGCCTAGAGAATCTTGACTTTGGCCAACTTAATTTTATAGCAAGGGATATTAAAGGAGTTGGGCAATTGTTTTTTCGGTTCTTATAAAACCCGACTTATATCTATTTTTTCTTAATAGAGTGTTTCTATAATTGATTATTATAAATGCTATTTGAGCTGCAGTGGCCAAGGAGATAGATAGAGAGTCAGGCTAACCGTTGGCAGTTTTCGTAGTTTTTATCTATATGTAGCGCAAATATTGGCTAGTTCCATCAAAAAGTCCTCCCCGAAGGCATGTTTCTCTCAATACTTAATATAAGAGTTCTCTTGTCTTCTAGATGGGTTCCAAATTACGAGATTACGGAGTTAAACATTGGCAGTCTTAAACTCAAAATAGGGTAGACTATTCAACGACGGTTATGAAAAAGAATGAAAATTTTTTGATATAGCAAGTGCATAAATAGAAAAGAGAAGATGGAAAAAAATGCGAATCTAGGGAGTTTGCTTCCCAATAAAGTGGCCAAGGTTCGAATTACAGATGCAGGAGATTGATACACATTTTTGCTCCTGCTTTGCACAATATCCTCGGTGACAGTCGGATAATGGGTTAGGATTAGAATCTTCAGGATAACTATAGAGGACTTCGTGATTTACTGTTCTCGTACAGCAAATGTGAGCTAGTTCTATTAAAAATTTCTCATCGAAGGATAATTTGCCCCAATGCTTGATCCAGAAGTTCCCTCGTCTTCTGGGTTGGGCACAAAATTGCATGGCAGACATTAATATTCATAAACTCAAAAAAGGTTAGCTATTCGACAACGGTTATAAAATAAAATATGAATTATCACTAAAATTATTAGGTGAATTGGTGTATGGGAAAATTAGTGAATTCATGTATTTGTTGGTTAACAGGTGACTCATTATCTTTCATCCAATGAGAAAGTTTCACATCAAGAATGTGGTCTGTATGAATCGCACAGCTTTCGTCAACATTCAAAGTCCTGAGTCCTCTTATTCTTTTTTATTGTGGGTACATTATATATTTAAAACCGTTGTTTATTTCAGTCTAAAAAGCATTAAACGGACACGTGATAATTCTTATTACTTTCCTATTTCTAATCATTCACTGTAACTTTCATTTTTAACTAAAAACAAAAACGTTCTTCACAAAGTGCAAGACAATCCAATATAAATATTTTATTTAAAACAAATATACTTATAGGAAGCAGCGCTGATTTAAATGGATTTTTATGGGATTAAAAAACTTTTCACAAAAATAAGATTTGATTTGATTCCTTTCCCGTCTATCATTTTTTTCTTCATTTTTTTAAATCCCAAACAGAATGTTTCTGATTACAGTGTATGAAGTAAAAAAAAAGTAAAAAAACAATCCAACTAAGTGAATTATTTCGCTTCCTTACTTGAAGCTTAATATATTTTTTATTCCAAAACTTTTTCAAAATTGTCTATCTTTTCCTGGAGGAAAAATCCATTCTTCCAACTTCCTTTTTTCGGAAAAGAGCATTATGAAAGTAGCGGTAGGGAAAATCCCTATCCTTGTCCCAATCGCCTCAGGAATCCCAACTGCGCGCAAGCGCAATTTTCTCCCTTCAAATACCTTGCTCCTCCTCGTTATCCTCCGAAGAGAATTCAGTTAGTTATTCGAAGGACTGATATGGAAAAGCTCTCCGTGGTCACAGTTATGGAAACCATGTGATTGACTCCAGATATACAAGGAAATTCTGCTGACGTCATAAGCGAACGATCTTCCTTTGGAATAAACAAATTAGATATTTTCTAGAGTTCAATACACGGTATCGTTTGATTAAGTAGTTATTTCTCTTTGAATTTCGAAACAGTTAATTTTAAGATACTTCAGAAAGAATTTAATATCATGTTTTTGAATATTATTTTCGTTGTTTATTATTTGAAAAGAATTTTGTTTAAGTTTTTGCTAGATGATTTTAATGATTAATTCATTTTTAAAAATCGACAACCTGTGTACTGCTATATTGTTCATGCTTTTTGTTTAAATAATTATTACTGCATATTATTACGTATTTTATTCTGAAGCAAATATATATATATATTAGTTTTTAAGCTAAAAAAACAGTATTTAAAAAATCGTTTTCAGATACGATTTTTGAAATAAATATTTAATTTTTTTGTCAAACGAGATTTCATTCCTTAAAGTTGCATTGGAATTTTTCATTTGCAATTCAAACTTCCCGAAAAAGTTTTTCAACTAATTAAAGTGTAAAGTTTTTCTACAATATAAAAAAATATGGATTGTAATGTAAGAGTTAACTGAGATAATCATGGTCAGGAAAAATTATTTACTTCGTTTTAAAAGATATATGTAAAAAATTATTTTGCCTAACCAGGTAAAAGTTTGAACTTTTTGTTTTAATGATTACAGTTGATGTTTAAGTTTTTTATTCTATGCATTTACTGTTTGCTCTAAACTGTCACATTTTTGTTATAAATTGAAGTCATATTGCAATAAACTTTCAGGGTTTTAAATAAATGATATATTTAAATTTTTTTTAAGTTATGTTTTAAATAAGTGTCAGTATTTTTTTATTAATTTATAACACCATAATTTCGCTAGATATGAATTATTTACCAGGTAGTTATGAATCATTAATATATTGAATTAATAACTTATTAAAATCAAAATAATGATTAGGGTTTAACTACAAAAAATAAATTTACATAATATATAAATATTATAACATATTTATATAGGAGTAATATTTTTCTCATTGAATAAATTCTCCAGATATGTATAAAATGCATGAACAATATAATAGTACAAGCATACTAATTTTTAATTGATCATAAATTTTCGTTAATAAATAGTCATACTATAAAGTAAATATTCTTATTAAACATTTTCCGAGCTTAAATTTATTAGCTAATCTTTTTAGAACAGTTAATATTTTTATAATTAGCTCATCTATAAGGTGATAATTTTTCTAAACAATGCATTGCACTATACTCAAAATTCAAAGTAATATATTTGGGTGATACAGATGGAATGAAAAAGTTAATGATTACATTTGAAGTCAAATATTTTATATTAGAATCTATTTCATTGTTCAAATACTTTTGACTATTTAATTAAAAATATAAATTTACTGACAAATAAATTTATTTTTTATAAACGATCGAAGAGTTTCTTAGAACAGTTTTAATCAGGAGATGGTGTAATTTGCGAAATATAAGGGAACTAAATAAAAAAAATTGAGGGAACTAAATAAATAAATTATTTTTTGTTTTTACTTTGAAAGATAATTAAAACTGAAAATACAGAGAAGAATGAATAAATAAACGAAAAGAAGAATTAACGAAAAAAGAATTTTTCAGATACTTTTGAAAAATTAAGACTAATTAAGAGGATATTAAATAAATGATTTTTATAACTTTGCTCTAAACCAGGAAGCAGTTGTTGCTTAACAAAATAGATGAAAATATTGGTTTCAAGATATTCGAATTAAAAACTTGATTTAAGATTTTCAAACTAAAAATGGATAATTTGCAACCAGAACTTATAAAAGAAGAAGAACTAACCATCGAACCAGAAATAGTTGTAATAAAAGAAAATACAGACATAGTTCCTTCAGTTGACAAACAAGAGTCACCTCCAAACATAAACATCATAAAAGATAACACCAGTAGTCAGCAAGAACTACGTGAGGGTATTATACTACTGATAACATCGGATACAGGCAGTCAGCGTTCATTAACAGGTTCACCCAATAATCTTTCTGAGTACTATTTGCTGCCTGTATCTTCAGAAACTCTCACAGCCCACAGACGACACTCTTTGAGAGATCAATCCGATAAAAATCATCACCACCACCACCAAGAAAGAAAGGCTTCGTGTCCTGATACTGGACTACATGTTAGTCCACTTAAAAGTAGAAGAAACAGCTCCTGTAGTCGAAATTCTGAGTTAGACATCAATAAAGACAGATTAACTCCGTCCTCCTTTTCAAGTAGACGTGCCAGCAACGCAAGCGTTTGCCATTCAAGAAGATCCTCCAATTGCAGCATCGCTGGAGTACATCGCAAGAATCGCAGCAGGAGATCCAGCGTTAGTAGCGTTAGTCATAGTCGCAGATCTAGCTCACCCAGTCACAAGTCTAGCAGCAACTGTAGTCGTCGATCTTCGCACGTAGATTCTGATGATGATTCAATTCTTCATCACCACCATCATCATAGGGGATCCAGGACCAGCTTGGATCCACTACATCCAGGCTCTATAGCTTTCGTTGATATTAATGGTGTCAGTAGGGACTCGAACTTACTCCCCCATCAGGCAAAAAATGGACTATCTGAAAATGAGGAATTAGAAGTTAATGGCATACCACAAAGTCACAGAAAGATTATCATCATGGTTATTGGATCTATATCGATCTTCATTTTGGTGATGTCGGTGGTCCTTATTGCTGTTTCATTGTCTTTGTCGCCGACTATTGACGATTTGGGTGAGTAAATATTTAACATATTAATTTAATAATTGAATGCTTTATTGCCAGACAGCGCTAAGTCATAAAAATTAAAAGAATGTATCCAACTAGTTGGAAATTATTTTAATACGTGTCACGAACAGTGTTTGGCTGTCGCTTTCACTTTAGTTACTTGTAATTAGATCAAAAGAATATAAAACATATATTTTAGATTTATTTTAATCTGAAAGTACTTTTTTAGTAATTAAAAGCATGACAATTTTACCACACATTTTCAGTTTCAAGAGAAACATAAAAGCATAGAAAATCACTGCCACTGAAAATCATTTATCACTGTCTTGCAATAAACCATTAATTGAAGGTATTTATCCTGATTAACCTTTTTGCTGGATACTATTTTCACAAAAAATATGAACAACTTTTGAAATGTTTACACTGATAGTGTAAAGAACGGTGGTGATCGAAACCATAAAAAAACGCAGAAGCTGAAAAACGGAATCATATATTTTGAAATAATAATATTAACTTAAAATAAAGCTGCCATAAAGTTTCACTGGTCACATTATCATCCACTCATCATCAAATCTCAATAATAAAAATACTAACAGAAATGTTACCATACTTTGAACACTTCATGTTTGTATTTTTCATGTTCTTTCAGCACTGAATTGTCATTTGTAAATCGAACCTTTAAGGCCAAACTCTTTTTGGCTGTCCCTTTATAGAAAGTTTAAGTCAATTTCTCAGTCTTCAAAGAGTTTCTATGTACTATTTTCGTGCTATGGTGACATCTTAATCTATAGCTGGTAGATCCAAACCTTATGATTTGGAGTAACATTTTAAGAGAAAAAAGTTATTGGCAAACTTGAATATTCAATCACCAATGGTGAGCTAGCAGTGTATTTTTCGTGCTTTGTTTTAAGAGATTTGAAGAAAAAAATATGGAAAAAACGATCACGGATATTGGTGTATACTTTAAGAGGTTTGAAATCATGCCCTTACAGAAATGTAAGCTGTTTTTTAGTTTTATTAGAGGTTGTTTGGAAGTTACATGGTTGATTCGGGGCTTATTTGGAGTTAACCTCCTCAAGTGCATAATCGAGGTGCATGATGTTGTTTTTTATTCAAACTTGAGGATGTTTCGAGATTATGGAAATCTACTTAAAAGCAACCAGCTTAGGGAGGTTGTGTTTGAGATTTACGGGATAACATTTCAAGCAAATAAATATAGTTGAGGTAGGAATTATTTCATCCGATCTCAACTACAAGTGTTGCTGGGTTATACACGAGGTTGAGTATAAAATGTGTAAATGAGGTTGAAATTGAGATTTATTACTGAGTTTATTTTTGGTTCCAGATATATCCTTATTTTCTACCTAAGGTGTATGTTTTTACATCTATCAACCTCAAAAACATCTTATTTTTTGTAAGGGTGGTATATATTACTAAACGGGTTTTTTCCAAATTTATTTGAATGATTTGAAATTGTAGCCTAGCGTTGTGTTATCTCAAACATTCCTTATATAAAGCAGACGTATTTAACATAAGTTAAAACTGAATCTTCTAGTTATTAAAAATATCTAAACTGAAAGAAAGATTTCTTGTCATTAATATTTCCTTTAAATAAAAGGGTTCTAAAAGAGTTTTAATTTATTTATGCATCTTTGCTTACATTTTTTACAAGTATCTTACCTGAAACATAATTTTATCCCACTTCCAAAAAATCAGCTTTCTGAAACCTTAATAAAAATAGTTTTTCAAACTGCCTCACCAAAATCACTTAACAAGTTCTACTAAATTGATTATCTTTCATTAAAGAAAAACTGAAAATTCAAGAGGCTGTACTACATTGTTCTAAAATTTATTATGTAATAATTATTTAATTTTTTTTAAATCGTTTTCTCGTAGGCTGATAAAAAATTTTCGAAAGGTTTGTGGTTAAGACTTAATAGCATTTCTTCAAATTAACACATAAAATTTTGAAATACGAGCAATTAAAAAATATCTTACTTTTTTAGATAATGGCTTGGTTCATTTAAAAAATAATCTTTCAAATATTTTAAAATGATTACAAATTTGGCTACCGATCTCAAATTAGTTTTTCTGAAAATATTAAATAAATGAAAAGAGTAAAAAAAATCATATTCGATGAATAAAATTCTTTATAATAAATTTTTACGGAAGAGTATTATAACATTTAATTACTCTCGTTAATTTTAAAGGAAAATAATAAAGAATATATTTTCTAATTATTACTTTTTAATAACTAAGTTCGTGAAAAATTTTCAGCGAAATAAAAAGCTTAGTTAAAAATTCATCCTTTAAGTTTCAAAGAAGGGTGAAATATTTTTTCTACCGTTTTAAATTGTTCCTGGAGGGTGTATAAATTTAACTAGTTTTCAATTTCCTGGAAAATATAATGAAGTTAATAAATATTGAAGAAAATTCTCCTTTTTTTATTTTCTTTCTCATTTTGGCCATGCATTAAAAACCAAGCTAATTATATTGAGGAGATTCTTATCCGCTCTAAATAAAAAATAATTAGGATTTAAATTACTGGATTGTATTTAAAGTATTCGTTAGAAAAAGTATTTATATGAAATTTATAATTATACGTGCATATATTAAACAATTTTTATAATTAACTATTTCGTAAAGTGCATACAAGGAAATATGTAGAATTGTACGCGTTTTCTTATATTTCACAACAATTATGAAATTGTAAAAATCGTAGTTTTTTTTAATCTAAGTTTAAAAAAAAGAAGAATTTGAATATTAATTAAGTGGTCCTTCCCACTTCTTTTCTGCAACTGAAGTAAATAAATAAAATAAAAAAATTTATAATCAGGAAGTGAGAAGTTGAGGGAGTCAGGTAAAGTAAAGTAGGTATAAAATAAAGCTTTTTTTATGGAAGGCTCTAAAACTGAATTAATAAATTTAATTTACCGAAAATGTTTATGCATTTTACAAAATTCGGATTCATGTAGAGATCAACTGATGCCTGGTGGCTGAGTGTTAGCGCTTTGCTCTCCCCTGCCACGGGTCCTGGGTTCGATCCTCGGGCCGGGCAAGATTGACTCAGCCTTTCATCCCTTCAGTGGGTCGATGAATGAGTACCAAGTTGATTGGGAACTAAACACTGGGGGTTGCGCGTTCGGCTGACCACCTGGCCGGAACATCTCCTCCTGCACCTCAGAGCCCAAGGTCAAGAAAACTGAGTTGGGCACAGTAGGCTTTGGCTCTCTATGGGCTGTCGCACCACTGAGTTTAGTTTTTTTTTTATAGAGATTAACTATAAAGCACAACTTTATCTATTTTGCTTGATTGATTCTTTACAGTAATACATCCAAAGAAACATGTTTTGATAAACCCACTTTACCTTGTAGTGGGGTAAAATGGTTATCGTTCTAAAGTAAGTGTAGACTCCATTAAAAAATGTATGTAAATATTGTTTTAGAAATGAAAGTGCGCTTAAATAAATGTATTTGTATTATATTTAAAATAAACAAATATTAAAAAAATTCATATTATTAAAGGAAAGAGTTAACGTTTTATGGCCATCTAATTCACTTAGGATGCTGTATATACTGCTGAACTCTACAATTTTTTCTCAATAAGCAGGAAGAGTATAACACTGTTTAGTACATGTGAAATATAAATGAGTGCATAAAATTAATATCCGTAGTGGTAATTTATAGCAGTATGTATATGTACTTTTGATCAATTTAATTATTTTAACGAAATTGTTTTGCTTTCTATGAAAAAACTGCTATATGAAGGCAGAAACTTGAGTGAAAACTCTTATATACGAGGGTTGTAAATTAAATAGTGGCAACTTAACCTTGAAACTCACAGAAGGGCGGGCTTGCGTAAATAGGGTATGGGTGCGGTGAGGTGGCGCTGTTGTCGATGTGTTGAGTGCAAAAAACAGTCGATTTACTTAGAAGGGAAGTTGTTGCGCTGCGTTAAAGTGAGGAGTTTCGTTTCCATCGCTCTAAAGCATGTTGTGAAAAAGCTTAATGACGAAAAAAGACGAGATGCTTGAACCCATCGTGCTACTGTCCTATACGGTAAAACATTTGCTCCACAGGCTTCCACTAATCCTCAATAGCATTCTGTTGCATTTTTGCCACGGGCAACCTCGATTGTAAGCCACGACCGCTGATCATCTTTTGAAAACATGCTTTAGAGCGATGGAAACGAAACTCCTCACTTTAACGCCGCACAACAACTACCCTTCTAAGCAAATCGACCTTTTTCTGCACTCTACACATCGACAACAGCGCCACCTCACCGCTCCCGTATCCAATTTGCGCATGCCCGCCCTTCTGTGAGTTTCAAGGTTAAGTTGCCATTATTTAATTTACAACCCTCGTATTTTTAAGTCATATACCACTACATTTAGTCATAAACCATCTTAACCCCACCTCAGAAATCAATTCATAATAAATAGAATTTTGAAATTTATTCTTAAATTTATATTATTATTACGTTCTTTAGATGTCTCTCTACCTGTTTGAACTAAATTTAATAGTTTTTGCCCGTTTTTAATAATATTAGAATAAAGTTCATCAGCAGTTTAAACTAACATACTGTTGGGGCGGAGTTATCGACCATGCCAACCTTCATCTATCAAAAGGTACCGATTAAGATTTAAGGCCCTCGCTATTAATGAAATTTTTACCATTTATAAGTTTTATAAACTTTGAAATAAATGATAATCCGGTGGCACGAGGTCAGTGCTATATGGGGGGGGGGACATAAATAACAAGAAAATTGTTTTACAGCACGACAATTGTATTTTTGTCCTCTTTAATCTTTAGAAAAGAGCACGAAACTACTGAAATTTTGTTAGACAGTTATGTCGCATTCCGCCATATAGCTCCGACCTTGCACCATCGGATTTTCATTTATTTTGAAATTTACGAAACATTTTAAGTGGTAAAAACTTTGATAATAACGATGATCTCAAAATCAAATCAATTTTAAGCTTTTAACTTTGAGCATCACGCTTTCAT